TTATATATATATTAGATAATTAGGAATTACTTCAATTGAAATTCTTATTTAATAAAATTTCCTAGTGGAATATTGAAGAAGCATTTTATATTTAAAAAATTTTAAATAACTTCATAATCCAAAACAACTTCAGAAAATTCTTTTATGGAGGGGAATTAATAACACATACACAATTTAAACTAGTAGCTATCCCGTCAAGAATGACGGGCGATGCAGATATTTCTCCTTTGTTTGATGCTCACATCATACCAAATGCAACGGCATCATTTTTTTGTCTACCTAAATCCACAGGTATTCCTTCTAATAGAATGTCCACTCTTAAATGGATAAGCTTATGGTTTGGTTTTACCTATATCCAAATGTACCCTTCAACTAAAAAGTCGATGCTTTTCGCCCTTGCAGAAGCCAGGAAAATAACTCATTTATATCCATCGCCTGCTCCATTCTTACAACTTGTAGTTTAAAGATTATCAGTCATAGGAATCTCATTTCTTATAACAAAGACTAGTTACCTCAATTATTTGTTCTAATTATCTAAGCTTAATTTCTTCCTAATAATCTTCTTTGTCTCCTTATTCATTCTTTCGTCATTTTTCTTTATTAATTTCTTTTTAGACATTCTTTTTAAAATTCTTGTTATCCTAAATTTTATTTTTATATTTATCGCCTTTATTAATTTTCTTTTAGATAAAAATAGTTATATGCCTTTCCCTAAAAAATAGTAGTAAATAATTTTTATGGCAAGCCTTTTTTTCAAATTTAATATCTTCAAGACCAAAATTCCTAAAGTAGTCGTTACAAAAGGAATATATATATGATATATTCTAATTTAATCTATATTCAAACAAAAGATAATTTAAATTTATAAAAGAAACATTGAATGATGAAAAACCTTTTGTGTTGAATAAAGGTGAGGAAAGTGTTCATAATTCAAATAGGAATAAATCAGATACAATTTACGAAAAAAATCATATATCAATATCGAATGTTAAAATAAATGGTTAGTATATAATTCTTTTTTTTTACTCTCAAAATTTCTAATAATTTTATGTGTTTTCTTAGAAGGATGTACAACCAATGATTGCCAAAGTTTAATTATATTTTTATATCTTAATATTGAATTTTTATAGATTTATGTCCAATGCAAAGGATATGTAAAGGTAAACCTTTATTTCAAATAATGATGATCTATTAATATATAAAATGGTTTTAAATAATTTGGATACATTTATTTGTTTTAGCTGACAAATGTAATTACAAAAAAAAATGTCAAAGTAATAATTTTTCCATATTTAAAAATATACATGTTTTTTTATAGTAAATAGTTTGACACTGTGCAAAACTTCTAGTTGCAGAGGAGGTAGATATTTTAAATTACACATAATTTCTTTTTATTCTGGCCCGATATATATCTCAATTAGTAATCTAATATATTCTTTTAAATAATACATTTTAGACGATTAAATGTTTATTCTTAACTCTTTTTTAAAAAAATTGGCTCTCATTAAATAATAAGTTATGGGGAGATTTATTTGAGTTTAAAATTGAACCCTAATTGGTGTCTCTGTCCAAGATATTTACGACTGTTCTTAACAAAAGAAAAAAATTATTTAGTACATTTTCTTCAAATAATTGAAATAATTTTAAAATTATGTTTATGACAATAAAAGATATATATCTTTACTCCGATTATATAGCAAAATTTTATATCTTATATTCATCTCCGTAATCAATCCCAAGAGGTGCTTCGTGTAGAGAGATATGGCCAACCTTCCTAAAATTTATGTTTGGATTTATCTAGATGCTAAAATAAATTGATATATATTTATGCAATTATTTTTTTCCTTATTACTTTAGCTTTTTTTATCATAGATTAAAAAATTTAATTAGTCAGTATATTTGTAAGCGTTCAACATTTATTCTGAAGGATTAAATATGCACTCTTTTATTTGAATTGACTTTCGTAAATGTGTACATAATAAATGAAAGTAATTTAGTTATTAGAGACCAAATAAACCCCCCCCCCCATAGCCATTCAAAAAACAAATCGAAGCATTTGGCTTGATCTAGAGGGTTATTAAGAAGGATTATCTCTAAAATAATAAATGAATAAAAAATTTGCTATCAGATATTTAAAAGCATCTAATCAATTAGGATTTAGATTAAAGTATAAAAAAACTTCAAGCCATAGAGCTAGAATTACTCTAGAGAATCTATCTTATAAAAAAATAAATTCATTCAAGAATAAAATACTCTTCTCCCCTTCTGGACCTATTTACTATGAATGACCAATATGGTTATATTAAAAAATATATAAAATAATTTTTTTACTTTATATATTTTTTTTCAAAATAAAAAAATAAAATAAAATGCAAAATCTTTTTTATAACAACTTTTAATATTTTGAGCGATTATTATGACCAAAAGAATGAGCAATGTTTAATTAATAAATAAATACCGCTTAGTTTGGTAATAACTAAAAGAAACCTATTAGCTTCTTTTAGATTTTACCCAATGTAATCAAGGTTTAGTATCCAAACATCCCAACAGGATACAACATAATTTAACATCAAATCAAAATATCTTTTAAACTCTTATCTTTATAAGGCCTATTATTTTACTACTTCAGATTATCGGGGGCATTACTATTACCGAATTCTCCAAAATTATAAATTAATATCAAATACATATCGGTTAATATTTTTCTAAAATTTCTAGAGGCATAGTTACAATTTACCCTTTGCATATAATTTAGAGGACTTGATCTATGTTCTGATTTGTCCCTATCATTTGTACCATTAATAATATCTTTTATCAGTGACTGAAAACTTATTTATATAAATAACAACTAAACTGTGGATTGGTTATTTACGCATTAACGGGTCGATAGTTTAAGAGAGGGAGCAAATTATCCCATCACAAAAGGATTGTAGGATTGCTATTATGTAGCGCTCGACTACTCCATTAATTGGTTATCAATAAGATTATTTATAAGTGACAAAAACATATCCAATCAAAAATCAATTATGACAGAAGCCAAATTTAAATATGTAATGGCGCAATCAGTTAAAGAGGAATATATCACCTGTCTATAAAAGTCAAATATGTTTGATAGAAGTTGACATTTTATACATAAATACTAAGGAATAAAATGGATAAGAAAGTATTATATGGAGTAGTATTATCACACAGCTCGAACTGCGTGTTTTTTCAATCATTGTCAACACTCGACAGAATGTATATACACTAATCTCTTTGGACTATGGCAAACATATGTAATGGGACGACTTTACCTGTATCGATATTTTTACCCCCTCTCATAACATTTACCATATTTAGAACTGCGGAGATAAAGAATAAAATATTCCCACATATTTCTAAATAATATACTGCCCCAATAGTTGTTGTTCTTTTGGAAAAAGGCTAAATGACTTTTCAAATTTATAAATTATAGGAGCCCTAATCCAAAATCACAAGAGCTTTTAACATAAAACACAAAGTAATTTGTGGAGCAATCAGATTTAATTTCAAATTATAGATTGATTGTCATTGCCGTATGATGACCAACTTTAGAATAATGCTTATTTTATTTATTTTACATTTTTTTCTTAAATATTCAATAAAATGGCCGCCATATCTGAAGCGATAAAAAATTAAAAGTGCAATAACTGAGATTCCGATCCTACTTCCATCTGTAAATACGCATCTTTCAGATCTATCACGATAAATTTATCACCACCTTGGATTTTCTCTAACAAATCGTCTAAGGTAGGAATAACATGATAGCAAATAGCGACACATTTACCATAAAAATGATTTTATCATCCAAAATATTCAGTCCTCTTTCATAATTTTGCATCAATGAAATCTATACAATTCCAATATATCAAAATTTAATTGTAGATTAATGATACAAGAAATTTAATTCTTTTATATTATTCCTAACATAACACTCTACATTATCAATTCTATCATTCTTACCAATCTTTACAATTTACCCTTATTTATACCAAAAACTGTTGACTATTATAAAATTGTCATCCAAACATCTTATTTAAATGTACAAAACACAATCAATATTCACACTTGAAAAGGATAATACATTTAATCTCTTATCTAATTATACTATTGATTCAAATCCATTAAAGCAAACTAATATTGCTATAAAAGCAGAAAGGGTAACTGAACATTTCACAAAAAAATAAAATAATTGCCAACAAAAAATAATTCTCTGCCAAACATTTATTCAGAAAATGATATTGAAAATGTGATTTCTATAAGACCACTTGCACATCATTATGCTATGACACAAAACTTTGACAATGATTTACCCCAAAAATATGACTGATAGTTATTTACATTGTATTAGAAGAATATGGACTCTACAGCTTACTATTGCGAAAACCCCTTCATGAACTAAATATTACAAGCTAGACTGCAAACTAATATGAATTCAAATAAATACAAAAATTAAATGATATTGAAAGTGGGATTTCTATATGATCACTTGCACATAATTATACTATGAATAATCATCTTCCATAATCAAACCTCAAATATTGAATAAATCTTATCAAAAATTGCCAAACATTTATTCAGTTAATAATATTTCACCAAATATTTATCCAGAAAATGATATTGAAAGTGGGATTTCTATATGATCACTTATACATAATTATACTATGAGTAAATCATCTTTGCAAAAACCCCTTTATGAACTAAATATTACAAGCTAGACTGCAAACTAATATGAATTCAAATAAATACAAAAATTAAGTGATATTGAAAGTGAGATTTTTATATGATCACTTGTACATAATTATACTATGAGTAAATCATCTTTCATAATCAAACCTCAAATATTGAATAAATCTTATCAAAAATCAAAAAAAATAACTCATTAAACTTCCTTAATATACCAACCCACAAGAAACCCATATTTGAAGATAAAAATAATATCCAACATTTTCACTCTTAAACTGATAAAAAATTTTTAATTCATGAGCTTACCAAACCTCAGCACAGCTTCTACCAAATCTAACTGCCCTTTATGTAATAAACTCGTTAAAGTAACCAAATTGGGGCTATTGCCATCTCATCAAAACCAGAAGATAAAATGTCCTCAATCTGGGCTTCCCATCTTATCACCAGCTATCCCTCGAACCCTAAAGGCCTTTTCTGCCCTTGCCCTCGCACAACCTATAGTTACCATTCCCACGTTGACTGATGTGCCTACTAATAGTCCCCACCTCAACCGCCGACTCTCACTTTCAATCCAACCGACTCCACAGATGTAGAAATATTTTTAGTCACACCAAAACCATTTGTGATTTCACGAATACCTAAGGGAGCAAGACTTCAAATTTCCAAACACCTCTCAAAGAACTTGACTTCCTTGATAAATAATTATTCTTCCATAAAACACTGGCTAGACACCCTGTCATTTGCCTTTACTACCTTGCAAAGTTCCTGATCCTGCCAGCAAAAAATCTCTGACACAGCAAATCAAGGATGCTACTATCTACCCCTTACCCATCAGTCACTTTTCCACATCTTTTAAAGGTGATGACACTGATAAAAATAAAAATCACAAAAATGACCTACTCACCAAGGCCAAGCTTATATCTAAAAAGCTGGATAACCTGAATGTTAAATCCGCCATACGACTGGCAACATCTGACAATAAGCTAGCTCCCTACGATCAAACAACTTATCAAGCTCTTCTCCTAAAACATCACCCACACGATCTTAATGACGAAATACCGTCTTACCCCGAAGCTCCTCTAATTGCAACCACTTTTACCTCAAGCGAGGTTAGAAAGGCTATTCTCTTCTTCAAACGCGATTCTTCACCGGGGGTTAATGGGTTTCGCCCAATATTCCTACAGGATCTAACCGCACCTTACATCACACAACAATGCGACGTTTTGGAAAAAATTACTCAACTCATCAACCGTATGCTTGCTGGAGGCTTACCACCCGCCATTATTCCACTCCTTTATGGAGCTAAACTCATCGCCCTCCATAAACCTAATAAAGATATTCGCCCTATCGCTATTGGGACCACTTGGCGCCGATTAACCGCAAAGCTAGTAGTGAGCAGAATATTGTTCACAGTATCCAATCACCTGTGCCCTAATCAATTAGGAGTCAACGTAAAAGGAGGATGTGAGGTATCCCTACACATGACCAGAATGTATCTACAAACAGACCCCAGTGACGATATCCTAATTAAGATAGATTTTTCAAACGCTTTTAACTCTCTAAAACGTTCAGCGTTTCTTAATCCCATCCTTACCCTTTACCCAGAATACTCGCAATTCATCTTCGATTGTTATGCTAGTCCATCGCATCTTCAATTTGGAGATAGATTGATTCCTTCTAGTAATGGAATACAACAAGGTGACCCTCTAGGCTCCTTTTTATTCTGTCTGGGCATTAATAGCCTAATACAAGGCATAAATGACCAATGTAAACTAAACCTTCATAACTGGTATATCGACGATGGTATACTAGGCGGCTCACCCAGCGAAGTTATGAAGGCGGTCGAAATAATAAAATCCAGCGAGAGCAGTTTGGGACTGCGAATAAATCAAGACAAGAGCGAATATTGTCCTCTTGGAATCATCGACCTTAATTATGATCCTATGTTCAATCATACACCATTGAACTTCTTAACACATCTCGGATCTCCAGTGGGTAAAGACGAGTCCTTTGTCAAGTTCTTCGCCGACACTCTACTAGAGATATCCCTCATGCGCGATACACTATCTCGCCTCCCAGCCCACCAAGCGTTCTTTCTATTAAAGAACTGCCTCCTAATCCCAAAAATTCTATATACACTCCGATCGTCACGTATCTTCCAATACGACGTCAACCTCGCCGCACACGAGCTAGAGATTAAACACCTCACAGAGGATATACTCAATCTCAAATTCGGAGACCTATCTTGGCTACAAGCTACCTTGCCAACCAAATCCGGCGGCATTGGCATACGATCGCCTTCCCTACTCTCTGTTAGTGCGTTTATATCCTCTCGCCTGTCCTGCGAGCCCATCATACACGCACTCACAAAACATCTAGACCCTTTACTTCCCCAGGCAATTGATCTATGGAAATCTCTTTCATTAGTCGATCCTCCCTCATCGGCACTGCAGAAGGACTGGGATAAGCCTCTAGTTGGCAACTCCGTTGCATACCTTAAATCGAGGAGCCAACCCGAGGACCATTCTCTACTCTTCTCCATTTCCGCAGATAGCGGATATGAATTTCTCGATGCTTTTCCATCGCGAAACCTTGACCAGCTCCTAAGCAATGATGAGCTACGTCACGCCATCGGTCTAAGACTTAATTGTGATATGGTATACCCTATCACTGCATCCTTTGTCAAACGCCGGTCAACTCCAAAGGCCGTCACTCTTTACACTGCAAGCGCTGTAGAGGCAGATTCATTAGACATTCAAAATGCAATGATACTATTGCCAGGGCCCTAAAATCTGCTGGTATCCCATCAACCCTCGAACCTACTGGACTCTACAATTCTGATGGTAAGCGTCCCGATAGCTCTACCATGATCCCTTGGAAGAGGGGGGAATTCCTAACCTGGGATTTCTCATGCATCGATCCCCTTGCCCCTTCCAATATAAATAGAGATGCTCTAGTAGACGCCGAGACGAATTAACTCGCTAAGTATTCGCCATCGCTTCCGGCCAATTACACATTCCTACCACTAATCGCCACGACTCTAACGTCGTTCGGCTCTCATGCCCTGGCCTTCTTTAAAGAGGTGGGGAAACGGATCTCTACTAGGACCGAAGATCCCAACGAGGGTTACTACCTACGCCAAAGATTAGCCCTCAATATAATAAAATCCAATTATTCAGCTTCATATTCTCAATGACTGATACCCCTTAATCACAGAATCGGCGATGAGAAAAGCTATTAAGAACAAGAGAGGGATATTCAGGTGGAAGTCAACAAAAGAACCAAACCCTAATCACAGAATCGGCGATGAGAAAAACAATTAAGAACAAGAGAGGAATATTCAGATGGAAGAAGAAAAACTGAAAGGCAAACTATGAAAACTCATAATTCTTTTAAATCATATGCTCAATTTATTATATTAATTTACTATATATTTATTTATATTATTTAAATAATATATTATATTAATTTACTATATATTTATTTATATTATTTAAATATATTATTATTTATCCTTAAAAGATATACTAACAAATGTGATTATTTTTTAAATTGACATATTAATGAAATTTACTATTATATTAATCATTATTATATCATACATTTTAATAATAAATTTATAAAGATATGTAGTTAATATAATTTCAATATATATATATTCTTTAAATTTTGTGATTATTTGAAAAAAAATAATAAAGTTAACCTAATTGCTTGATATTTTTTATTTAATATATTTTTATAATGTGATATTAGAGAATTATTATGAGTATTTTAATGTTCTTATATATTTAAAACAAATAAATATGTTTTAATTTTAAATTATAAAAGTAGATTGTCATTTATATAGGTTGTTAGGATTACTGTTTTTAGGGTTTTATTAAGTGGCTTAGCAAAATAGGCCCTCTTCCCAGGTATCAATGATAATCAGAATTGTGTATTTGACCTATATTTTAATGGTTAGATAAGATTTTATACAGTTCATATAATTGTTTTCATATTTTATTTTATAAGATATTTGTATATAAAATAAATAAATCCAAACATTTTGAATATATAATTTTAATATCTTAAGTTTAACCATATTTGACATGTTAGATAGGTCTAAGAATCTACCCAAGTGGTTATATACAAATTTATATTGTATTCCTAGGTTAAATTTTATTCGGTGTGCTTCTATATATTAAAATCATATATGGGTACTAATGGAATTTATTTAATCAAATATTATTTATACTATTTAACATTTTTTATTTAAATTTTAAGCATTACATTAAAATCGTCATCAATGGATATAAATGTTCTTCTCAAGCCCTTTCTTATGAATCAAAAAATAAAGACGTTAATGCCCTTATTTTATTTTGAACTTTAAATATTTATGATTTCAATTAATATTTTGTCGAAATAAAAAGTAATAAAATGTTATATAACCACTTGTACTTCAACATCGACATAAGAGAGGTAAAAAAAAATACAATAATTTAAATAGATAATAAACCTTCATTAAAAAAGGAGCATCCAAATTTACAATTTATATCCTTATATTTGACTACTAGTAAGAATATAGTGAAGAATATAATTTGATTTTCATTAATTACTATATATTTTTCGCTATTCAGTTTTAATTATAGCGATACATTTTCATATTCATTTATGGCTTAGCGAATATAACAAAACTTGGCAATATTTGCAAAATTAAACATTTATTAGTCGTATATTAATAATTTGCACCTCTCTATCTCAATATACATTCCCTTTGTTATAGATTTTTTTAATATTTTTATCTCGTATATAATTTCGAGTTATTCATGATCGCGCTTTCATTTTCGCCTACCCATAACATGACTTTATTTATTTTGTTTAATCTGCGTTATATGATAAATTTCGCATTATCCATTTACTCTTCTTCTTTATCAATTTTATTTTCACATCTGGATTGTATTAAGCCTAAATTCATTTATATTCGCGCTTTCATTTTCGCCTACCCATAACATGACTTTATTTATTTTGTTTAATCTGCGTTATATGATAAATTTCGCATTATCCATTTACTCTTCTTCTTTATCAATTTTTATTTTCACATCTGGATTGTATTAAGCCCTAAATTCATTTATATTCGCGCTTATTTTTCGCCATTTTTTTCGCATCTGGATATATTAAGCTTTAAATTCATTCATTATAGCATTCATTCATTTTTCTTACACGTAGTCGCGCCATTCACTCATATTATTTGCTTTCCATTCTAATATTAGCTTTTCCTTTATTCATGACCGTGTTATGATATTATAACAATGGCTATCCCCTTTGAACCCAAAATCTGTCTCCTTATACATTTAACAAATGGCTATATTATATTTATGGTCCAATTGCTACCAGGTGTATCATGCAAGACTTTTACTTTTCGCCCAGAACACTCACTTCCCAGCACATAGTACCCCATTTTCAGACCTAATACCACAAAAAAAAGATGGCATCTGCTAAGTTTTTCCTCTAAAGTTAAAGAGCCCTACAATTTTTTATAACAAAAATAGCCCCCTCCTGTGTCAAAGCCAAACTTATTTCAAATAAAATTTGCTTTTTAAATATTAAATGTACTCACAAGTTGGCTTTTTCTTATGATACACTGGCCACTCAGATGAGACATAAATAAAACTCCCTTCAGACAGTATCCTTTTTCCACTTAAACACCAATCACTCAACAATTTTATTCTCGTTGAGCTTCAGATTTCACATTAGACGAAGTAATGATGACTGAGGAAATAGATTAATAGCCGATAATCGAGTAAAGTTGATCCATATTTTAGAACCGAATTTGCATCACTGTATATAGTTGGGGTAAATTAAATTTTTAACATGACAAATTGAGATTTAATAAAGATGAACTATATAAAAGTGACAATTATAATATAATACTATCAAGTTTTTTTGTGCAAATTAAATATGTAAATAGTATTTCATAGAAGATGTACTTTAGAAAAGTGACAACATAATCCATATTTTTAAACTTTTCTAAATTTCTTTGAAATAAATGGGTAAATGTATACATGTTAAATTGATTTTAATGAAGATGAATAATAGAAAAGTGACAATGTCATAATTTAACTTTTTAGATATTTTTTGAAGCAATTGTAAAAATATGTTAAATAAAAATTTAAATGAATGTACCATAAAAACAATTGTCAAAATCTTATTTTTAAACTTTTTTGAATATTTTTGAAGCAAAATGGGCAAAAATATAAATTGTATACATGTTAAATTTAAATTAAAATCATTATAACCCAATACCTTCTAGTAATGTTAAATAAATAGGAAAATAAATTTAGATTATTGAAAAATTATTTTTTCCAAATCTCTAAGTATCTAGTTCATTGGAAATAATCTCTTTTACGACAAAATAAATTTATAGTAAATTTATTAAAAATATTAAGTTTCCTATAGAAAATATTAAGTATTTTTTTATATATACGATGCTTATAACGCTAAATAATAACTAAACACAAGGGATATAAGAGTAAATCATAATAAGCCAATAAATACCTTCTAGTAGAGTTAAATAAATGGAAATTATTTCGATTATGTTGAAATTATTTTTCTAAATGTCTAATTATCTAGTTGTAATGAATTCTCTATAGGATTTAATCTCTTTTAATAACGACAAATTAAATTTATAGTAAATCTATTAAAAATATTATATTTCCTATAGTAAATATCGAAGTATTATTAATAATATATGTGCAACATACGTAAAAATGCTTTCCACCCGAAAATATAATCAAACATTTTAAAGGGATTTTAAGGGAAATCATTATAAGCCAATAAATACCTTCTAGTAGTATTAAATAAATAGAATATATTTAGATCATTGTGTAATTGTTTTTTCCATATCTCTAAATATTTAGTTCAATTTAACTACAAAATAAATTTATAGTAAATTAATTAAAAATATTAAGTTGTAAATATTAATGTATCATTTTATATATACTTGAACATACTTAAAAATAATTTTCACGCAAGCTAGTAATGTTAAATAAATAGGATAATTTTAGAATATTGAAAAATTTTTATATTACAAATCTCTAAGTATTTAGTTCAAAGAAGTTTATAGGAATCGATCGATCTATTCTAACGACAAAATAAATTTTTAGTAAATTTATTGAAAATAATTTTCTATAATAAATATTGAAGTATTATTTTAATATATATGTCGTAAATTTTAAAGGAATCATGACTAACCGGGATCTTCACGGGTTTTAAAGGGATCCCTTTAAAATTTCAATTTTTTAAAGGATTAAGAACTATACGGTATTATCACGTTTGAACCGTGATAAAGAGGAATCTTATTTTTAAAAGCGTTTTACGCGCGTTTAGTTTTATTTCTTTTTAATTTTATTGTTATTTATAAATTTTCAATGTTGTTTTATTGGTCTTATGAAATAAGTTAGGTCTAACATAGGGTATCAATCGAGAGCTAATAAAAATATCTATTCAACTGGAGGTCAATCTCTCCGCCGTAATGGGCGAGTCTAGGTCTGGGGGGTCAGGAATATTTTTATAAACATAAAATATCGATATGGGTATCAAACAAAAGCTAATTTAAATATCTTTTGACTGAAAGCATTTATTCTTGGTCTTGATGGGTTATGACTTGGTCTTGGTGGGGGGGGGGCGGATAGAGGAGGGTGGGGTTAAAAAATAGTTTTTTTGATATGGGTATCAAAAAAAAGGTAATTTAAATATCTTTTGACTCTAAGCATTCATTCTTGGTCTCGATGGGTATGACTTGGTCTGGGGG